CATAGAAGCTGTCTTCCATTTCCACGCTTGTCAGAGCCCAGTCCTCGCTCATTCTTAACACCAGCAGGGGTGCGTCTGGACGACGGCATGTGCGGTCATCGCGTTGGAGCATGCACATACTCCACGTCGGCCCTCGTAGTGTCCTCAACCGGAGCAATATCATAGTGTCGGACGAACTCATGGACCTCAAGTACGAAAAGAAGAAATGCGACTTGTTATCTCCACCCACATGACTCTTTGGACATCAAGGACGAAGCGGAACGAGGTACGATTTTTCCCACGCACATGTGAGCAGCACTGGGAGGACGGCGTTGATAAGAGCGCTGAGAACCATGTGGACAGCGGTGGCTTTGTCGTCGGCAGACCGTAGAGCGCCGGCGATGAAGGCCACAGAACCACCCAACACCATAGTCGACAACGTGAGCTCGCTGGAGGACGGGTGCCCGAGGAAACGAGGTTGAAACGTTCAAGCAGAGGAATTGAAAATCATAGCAACTTGGTGAGAATGCCAAGGCCAACGATTCTCAAGAGCCCATTACCACAACGGTGGGTCCCAGCGGGTCAAGTCCTTCCTGCTTTGTTGACTGTCTTGTTTGCCGGCAGCACGAGATGTTGCCCACCCCGTCAAGAAAACAGTCCACGAGCGATCGTCGTAGGAGATGCGACACATGGGAGAGATTCTCCTACGTGACTACGGATCAGAGTTGTGCCGTGGGGAAAATATGAACAGTAGATATGAGCGGAAGCCTTCGAAGAAAAGTATTGAAACATAGCGGCTATCCGATTCCCCCAAAATTCAACTACAATTCTCTGCTTTAAAGTCAAAGACCCTAATGACAACATCCGAATACGTCAACACGCGTTAGGGACTAGCACATTGGAGCCACTGCGTTGAGGAGTGCATTCTCTCTCGGTAGTAGATGCATAGCTTCTACGCCCGAGCACCTATCTACTTTCGTTGCCAAATTCTACGTCAGCCTCTGGGTGGGAGGAACCTGCCATCGTGTACGGCAGGTGGGCGAAGTAGTACAGTTTGGTAAGCCTTTTCGAACGATATTCAACTTGCAGCTTAGTTTACGGCAACTCGACCGAACTGCATGCGCACAATGGGGTGGCACTCCTTATCGGGGCTTAGTTTCGTTTCGGTGGAATTGCGAGAAACGCTACTTGTGCCTGTCACAGCGTCATTCGATGGTTTGCGAAGCACGAATATCGTGTGCAAGTCCACACGGTGAGAGTAACGACTATGCTGACGGCTCTACCTGTGACTTACTTGGCGTAGCCGCTTTGTAAGGAACGTGTCATCAACGCCGCTGCGATTTTCCACGCCGGGGTTTTCTCTCGCTTGGCGGGGTCTGCCTTGGTCGGACGGTCCACGTGCCTTCCCTGAGCACGGTCGGCGTTGAAAACATGTTTAGCAACCGTCCAGAGCCAGACACGAAGGAGAAAAGAGATGTACGGTGCACCTCGTATGTTTCATGGGGTGCACCAAGAATCGTCTGGCGTGTCTGTGAAGGTGAACGGCGGCCAGCGTCTCCCCAAACAAAGGTTCCCGGGAAGGGCGTCTATCGTGTGTCATGGCTCACGCTTGGCCGTACCAGCGCTCCCGATACAGGCAACAAGTGATGAAATACCTGGTTCACCTTAGTCTCGTCGTTCTCGATGGCCGTTTCTGCCTGAGTAGTAGGTTGCGTCTCATTTGTGAAAATCTTTGCCGTTTCTTCTGTAGAACTCGTCCCGCGCAGAGGGCCGTCGCTTGCTCTGATGCTCTCCACGTGTAGCACATCAACCGCCATCTTGAAACACCAAAACAGCACGTAGCAACAGGCAGAACGTCTGAGCGGCTTGCACATGTTACTAGGACGTACGAGAGCCAATCTCGCATGTGTTAGTCGCAGCCATGACACAATATCGACAATGATCCGCTCGAGGACCGATCAACACTAGAACTCTATGCCTCCGTGCTTCATCACATATTTGTTCATCTCTACCTAAATAAACGCAGAGCGTGAATATGAATTGGCAATTTTCCGCTACGATTTTGGGGCGGGATCGAGGATCACGCTGATAGACCCTCTGCCCATGACTGTGGCGCATGCCGAAGTACTCCAGAAGAACCCTCCCCAAGGCACCCCAAAGACATATTCCGTACCGCAAAGGTTGCGCTCGCCTCACCAAGATGTCCAGGATCCTGTCCGGAATGCTTGTGTGTCCTTGCAATGTGCCAGCCAGGAGGTTGTTGCTAATGGTGGGCTCCCTCTGTCTGAGATGTTTTTTTTTTTCGCGTTTCGTTTCACACGGGACATGGACGTGTATTTCGATAATTGAAAAACTCGTGAATAACTGAAAAGGGAATCCAAGTTCCCGGTCCACGTTCGTATAATTTCTACATTTGGAGAGTCTGTAGCCTTGCAAATTCGTAAAGCAGGGTGCTGCTTCGTTGCGAAGGTTATCCGAGAAATAGCAGGGGAAACGTTCATGACTTCGACGAATGGGAGTCTTCCTGCAGTGGGAACTTTCGGATAGCGGGAAACACGGGGTAACGGCTTCCGAAATATCTCCAAAAAACTCGAGAAACATCATTGTGGTCCGTCGGACGTTGCAGAATGGACGTCTCACTTCGGTGGTCACAGATGTCCAGTGTGCAGACTCGAACTCCAGCGCGAAAGCACTACCCAAGATCATCGTTCACAACAGAGTAGCGAGAACTAACGAGCAACTCACGTTGGGCAGCTCTCGTCAGCATGTTCAAGTTCTGCGAAGATGCTCTCGATCGTCGGAAACGACTCTCGCGATCCGATCGACGTCGAAGAGACCGTTTCGGGTTTTTCGGTGTTGGTCTTTTCCTCCATCGCGACTGGCAGTACTAGCTGAGCGGAGTTCGACCTTGGCAGAAACCTGAGACGAAAAAAGGGGGTTCCTTTCAGCGTGTCTTTCATGTTTTGCGTCCTGAAGCCTTGTTTGTGAGCCGTTCAGGGAAGAGGAATTACAGAGCAGACGAGGGGAGGTTCGCAATACAGCTTGCAGTTACCGCTTGTTGTTTGGCCTTCCCCTTAGTATACGGTCGTTGTTGTATTTCCTCTGTCGACTTTCTGTTCTCTCGACTCTTTCAGGCAAGAAATAGATGATGCGGGGGGCACAATATTGTCAGTACGAGTCAGGGTATCGCGAAATCTCTTGCGCGGAAAAAATATTTCCTGTGTAGTCAAGAAAGTTACAAACGAAAGGGCGGTGGGTCATTCGTTCTTCCCGAGCACCCGGAAGTATGAAGTCAACATATTACAAAGCCACAATATTTTTTTCAACATCTAATGACCCTAACCCTAAGCTAACAACCGCTGGGGCGGGAGGGGTGCAGCAGACGGAAGAGACGGCGAGGGAAGACAGGAACCGAGTGGCGCGAAATGCTGTGCTGGATTGAACCCCTTGATTGACTTAAAGGAACGATTGGCCATCGGTGATCGGTCCTGTGGGAACAATGCTCCGTCCTCTCGAGGACGCGTGGTCAATGGTCTAACCGCTAAGGCACGCAAAACATGAGGAGTACACCCCCCCCCCCGGCACCGCACCATTGCACCAACCCCAAACGGACGATGACGTGCATTTGCTGCTCGCGTGGCCCGCTTTGTGTTGTTTTGTGTTGTCTTGTGTTGCTCTGTTTGTTTGTTTGTTTGTTTGTTCGCTACGATAGTTACTCTGGCGTGTGTCTTTTCCTGTGTCTTTCTCTTTCTCTTTCCCTCCTCTCCATCTGTTCCCTTTGTCTTTCTTCTTTTTTTTTTCTTTTTCTTTTTCTTTCCAGTCTATGGTCGCCTCGCATAGCGTGTAGAGGCGAGCGGAGTGTCCCAGACTATCTGTCGGTGACTTACACTGACTTGCGGACCCTTCGGGTCAATCGTTTTTTCGTATACAAGTTTTTGGGTAAGTTAACCTGTGACCACGGGAATCGACCGCGTCAAGTCATACTGTAGTACGGACAGAAGAAGGTACTGGGTAGAGAGAACGGAACGGCTTTTAATGTGAAGACAACAACCACAACAACAACAACAACAACAACGACAACAACGACGACATATTTCGCGCGCACCAACGCCCAGAAATATTTTGAACATCTAAGCAGCAATGAGAATAAATTGGGTACGTGGTACGTCTTCGGTACTAGGTTTGCTCCAAGCCACGCCGTAGTATAACCTATGTCTTCTAGCCATGGCGGCAGCAGCATGATTCTACATGCACACAACGCGTTGCCTGAATAGGAAGGGTGAACAGAGGAAACGGTTTTGGTGAGAGATTCCATCGCGCTCCATTGGAGCCGTGGAAGCAATGTGCATTGAGCTGTTGTCCATGTGGCGGCCTATGAAACCTTGGTAGTTAATTGTTTTTTGAAGTTTTTGTCACTGCTACGGAAGGGATTGGGTGGTTTTCCCAAGGCGCCCACAAACCTCCAAAACCGTTCACGGAAGCCATGACGGAAGCCACTCCCGTGAAGTTGAAGGTGGCGGACGCGCTATGCTTGCGACGAAACCCGGTATAGTGTATTGTCGTTCCTCGTCGTAGCTGACAGCTGAATACATGATTGTGCCGGTGTTAAGCTGTGCAAATGAGGCTGTTTCGTAGGTTGACGTATTTTGTCGCTGAAGGGGTTAAGGTCTCGTTCTTGCCAAGGCCGAACTCTCGAAACATGTCATGCACCACAAGAACGTTATCTAAGATTCGAATTCCGTCATGAAGACCACCGTGCTCGAGTGGTAAACCCTGCTGGAAAGTCCTAGATAATGGGGTGGGAGGCATTGAAACTGTAGCTTGGACGCAAAATTGCACGACTCATCCGAAAATGAATGGGCGGGTTTTTTTCCGCCAGAGACGCTCACGCAATAGTGGTATACTCCATGGAAACTTCAATGTATTTCCAAGGACCAAACAAGAGGAGAAGCGGGCAAGACTTCAAAATTGCGACTCCTGCCGGTCACAGGCGGCCGACAGCAAAATCTGTCGCCAATTAATCATGACGCCTTTTCTAGTTGCACATCCCAGACCTCCCACCTGGTGATACTGCTCAGAGCTTCATCTGCCGGGCCGCAGTATACAGTTCTGCCATCTTTGAGAAGGATCGCGTGGGTAAATAGCAGCCAAAGCTCCGGTCGAGGCTGATGAATGGCCACAACCAAAGTAACCTGTACGGCGAAACATGTGCGTACGGCGTGTGGGCATGTGGGCTGTTCGGAAGCAATTTCTTCCACGCGCCAGGCTCTAGCAAACAAGCGCGCGAAGTACGACGCGCGACTGAAAGCAAGCGGCATAGCACCCGGCCATGGATACTGTGTGCCCATCGACTACCGTACCGAGCTCGAGAAAGCCGGCAGCAGCAAGTAACACCAAGAACTGATAGTTCAAGTCGAGAACAAGAGTGGCAAACGAAGCGGGCGAACCCATTTGAACTTATTCAAATGGACAAGTGCCGTGATGACACGGTGATGTTTACAGTCCGCCCCGGAAGTACACGAAAGAACAAAAGGACTCTGTTCCAAGCAGAAAGTGCCCCATCAAGTACTGCGTGGAAGTAGACTGTGTGACGATCGCTTCGTGATAGCGGGGAGTGAACCAACCATTTCTATATGAAAAGGCGGTCATGATCACGTTCATGTTTGAATCCTAGAATGCAATACATCACACGTAAGTCGAGTTGGCTTAAACTCTCCCCGCATCACACCTTAGTCGACAGGCGCTTGAGAATAGTCATGAGCTCCAGAGACGAAGTGGCATCTAGTCCTGAGGTCGGCTCGTCTTCGGTGTTTGTTGCGTGCAACATTGATTCACAGAACAATCGGGTGGGCATATTCTTCGTTCACTCGAGGGAAATAATCGAGACTGCTCCTGATGTTAAAAGAGGCTGCCAACAAAATGCCAGACGAAAGGAAGAGTATGCACTTTCTAGTTCGCTTCGTGGAACAAATGGTATTCCTGGTCACAGTGCTAACTTGCTCGGTGGATTCACGGCTACTCAGTTTCTGCTGGTATTCTTAACAGTTTCACCAACAACTCTCCCAAATGATACTAGGTATGACCACAACGAATAATACCAAATATCACCTACATACAACAAGGTCACAGGGTATCACCAACAACCAGCGGTATTCTCTAAAGCATCACTTTTTTCGGCGACTTCTCACCTAAGAACAGAACTCGGCGGTCCGGCAAGAGTTCTAGGGCGAGGGACAAACGCCGCTTGAGTCCCCCGCTCAAGCCGCCCGCTTTGGTGTTGATGCTTCCCTCGAGGGACGTTAGCTTGATTGCCCTAGACGTGGACGTCAACAGCACGGGACCATTAAGAGACATGCTACAGCACACGTCGGTTTGATGTATCTCCCCAGATACGCGTGACTCCGTGCGTGGTAGGTAGTGTAGAGGAGTGACGATGTGTCGCAAGTTTTACCTGGCAGAAACGTCAGGTTCCAGTCCAAGACTCACGTTTCAATTCGTTTTGTTTGCACCTCAAGGGTGCCCGGGTACCTCAGGACGACAGCAAACACCAAATTCTCCAAGACCGAAAGGCCTTCCAGGAAGGGGATATGAAGCTGCCGCATGTAGCCGGACTTGGAGATGTATGAGCCCTGGGTCGTTGAGAAAGGGTGCGGCAGCGCACAGGGCCACGGTGTATCGACCGGGTGGTGGACGTACGGCAAGGCTTGATCGAGTCTGGCCTACATGGCTCTACCAGTTTCGAATGCCTCGTGGGACAGTCGTGCTTACATGGGGCAACGGATAATAGACTCCTTGTTTTTTTTCCAAGCCCACTTCCCTTGCCCCTCCCTGTACCAACTCGAGAAACCTTTTGGTTTGCGATAGATTTTCCGTTGAACATCAACTCCCCGCTGCACCGACCGATCGCCTTCCTTCCGGTGAGCAGATCGAGCAGAGTGCTCTTGCCTGAGTGTGACAAAAATGAACGCACCGAAAAGCATGAGATCCATGAGATCCTGAGCATTCGTTGGCACGCGCAACCTGAAGCAGTTAAAGGGAAGAGAATATGTAGTGGACGGCCGCAAGACACCCCGCGAAGCGAAGCGATGCAGACCATCCTTGTGTTTTGGATCGTGTGGATGTTGAGTATTCAACGGTGACAGGCTGTTGGCTGAAATACTCTCTATGTGTACTTGCCACTGCCTGAAGGTCCCATCAACGCGCACAAGGATCCCTTAGGGACTTCTCCATCCATGTTGTGAAGCAGCTGCTTTTCTTCGGGGACAGTGTCGATGCCGGATGGCGAACGTGTCCGCCACCGGCGACTGTTCGAACACAAAAGGATAGTGCGGAACAGGTGGAGAGCAAGTGGCAAATAAAGCATAGAAGGCGGCGGGCACGAAACGAAACCCTAAGGATCGACACCGACAACGAGCACGAGATCACCGGGCCAGGCCGCATTTGTACTCAAATGGAATACTCCCTCTCATGTTGTCATTGTAGGTGGTACGCGCTCTTTTTTCGTTGTCCTCCAGTTCGTGTCAGTATCCTGACCCTTAGTGCCGAACTCGACTCATTTCCGTTGGTGTCCAGTGTGTTGATTCATGAAATGTGGTAGAGAATCCTGTGTGGTTGATGGATTCCCTCATTTCCCCCCATATTTTAGTCAGTCCAATAGTCTACATATTGAAACCCGAAATTCGGTTCATGTCGTTTGGAGTAGAACCGAGACGAACGAAGGGAATGAAAATGTGCCAGAAACGATGTGAAGAAAGAAGGTGAGCAGCAGGGCTTCGCTCTCCCGTCCATGTCCGAGGTTTACCGAGCAGCGTATCGAGAACAATGCTCTTGCTTCAAATACGACTTTATATTTTGAGGGTGTCGTGTGAGCGAATACTTGAATATTTCCTTTCCGTCATCCCATCTCCGACTCTAGGCCTTCGGTGGGCTTGCATTCGAACTCGTGGACAATGAGTTTTTCTTCGACCACGAGGTGCATGAAGTATCTTGGCAGGAACCTCGACCATTCTCATTCCCTCAATTTTGTCAAAAGCCTTTTTGTCGCCACTGTCAGCCTCACCTTGTCGGAAGGGCGTCGAAACAGCGCAGGCGTCTACGGGGCGCGTTTCCACATCGAAAAAAAAACGGGTGGGCCTTTCTTAGAAGACGAGCGTTGTTCGTGGGCCATCGACTGCTATTGCAACAAGGCCCGGGTTCATTACACAATAAATGGCATGGTGGGCGACCGATTTTCTCTTAAGATTGTGCGGGTGACAGTCAAAGATGCCAATGACCGAAGGTGCGCACCGGTGTGTCGGCGGAAGCCAGTAGCTAAGGCTGTTCCATTCCAGCACGGATTCAGTCTTGCCATCAGGGCCATGACCACGTGATGTCAGCGACAGATGCCTGTACTGATCGCTGTTGGCCATTCGATCAGGTCCATCATCAGAAAGAGACCCGGATCAACGTATGAATGGTATTCTGATAAGGTCCGGGGAAGGTTGATTTTTCACTGTACGCTTCCATCTGAGAATCATGGACAAGTCGCCGGTTTTTCAACACGAACAACTTGGACTAAATCGTCCCGAAACACGGACAGAACCCCAGGTTTTGCCTTGGGTGGTACAGGGCGGTAGTAAACCAGCAAGGTAAAAAAATATGCATGGCCGGGTGACGTAGATATGGATCGCAGGTTTAAGTCGACACCTTTGATTTGCATGAGCGGGCAAGAACAGTGATAATTTTCTACAAGGAACCACTTGGTTCGCATTGGGATGAGACATGTTGGCCAGAACGGCGATCATTTTTACAAGGAAACACTTGGTGTGCGTTGGGCGTACCTGAGGCTTGGCGCTTGTTTGTCTCGGGATTTTCGGCTTTCTTCTAGCAAAGCAGATGTCACAATGCCTACTGCGCGGTTTCTCCACCGTACACCCCACACCACTGCGATTAGCCCTGCATAGCATAGAGCATAGGGCGAAATTCGATACAAGTTGTCCGAATACAGTCTATTGACCTAGACGTGATACAGGTGATGCGATAAGGTAAATGCAGTTTGTGTTTGACGACTGCCTCGCCCAAAAGCTTCACCGGTTGGTTGCAGACGCTTTGGGCAAGATTAATTGTGGCGGCAGAGTATTCGATGACGAGCATCGAATAGGAGCGAGTCCACAACAGAAGCGCCAACAAGGCTTGGTACAGCACCGGCAGCTCCGGCGCGGGCTTATGTAATAGAAGCTTGAACACTTACCGCCTCCAAGTACCAACAAGGCCACAGCGCAGGTTGCGAGCACCAGGGTCCATACCAGCGTACTCTCGCTCTCATCTCGTGTGCCCGGTATCAGCTCAGACATGCAGGTTGGGTTGCAGTTAATGTCGTTGCATGAGTCGAAGAGAGCCACCTGCTCAAAGAGTGAAGAACATGATGCCCGTCGAAAAATCAACCAAAACACCCATCGTCCAAAACCATCAACACCCATGGCGAAGAAGGGAACCATACTATGTTATAGCAGGGTAGGCAAGATTGTCGGGTAGCAGCTTGGCCATCATCAATGACAATCAGCTCTGGGGCTCTCGCGTAGGAGCAAGCAGAAGAACAGAGAAGCTGCAGCCGTATCTGCTTCATGCAGAAAGGACAAAACAATACGCACCGAGGCGGCGGTTCTAGACTACTGTACATGTGGAACACCAAAGTGGACTTGCCTGCTCGTTAGCGTCGCCACGCCCGTTCCACCACTGCTCCATGGCCGTTCTTACACTTATTCCGTCAATCTTCGATCATTGAATAATTACCCAGTGGATGACAAGCAATCATTGCGGATAGTTATCCGTTGGACGCAACGGTACAGAACTGCAGTACGTGGGCGTGGCCACGTTGTCCCACAAGAACAAAAGAGAGATTCCCACATGTTGAAGAGTGTCGGGTCACGTCATGGAGATTTGGCACATGGTGCCATGGTGCACCATGATACGACATGATGCTCAGTGAGGACATATGTCTTGTGTTGTGCTCGTGTTTCCCGTGAGCAGTCTCACGAGATCCATGAAAAAGAGAAAATACATCGAAAAATGACTCCATGGGAATCATGATTTATACCGAGATCCTCATGGTGCGTCATGAATATTACAGCAATTGTCAGAACCATTTCCTTGTTAACGCTTTTCGGTTTCTCTCCTGAACCTCATGAATCACCTTGATGCACCACGTTGCACCATGTTTCACTACCCGGAAATGAAACCTAGCGATCCATCATGGCGCAGCAAGCCTTCAGTTCTGATTTATCGTATATTTTTCTTGCGAATATCATGGTCGAGGTTTACACGTTCCAATTACACGTTGCGACTGTTTCGATGTCGGTGTTCAGACTACATTGAAGCTTGGTGGGAAGCCACCGATATCAAAACTCTGAAGCACGTTACCAATTCCCCCCTTTAATCTTGAGGACGAAACCCACCACCCCGCTTCTCTACCTGGATGCGCTCCCATGCGTCCACAGAAATCTCAGCCGCCAAGCGTAGGCGAACGTCATCCAGAGTTACTTGGAACTCTACCCCAGATAAGGCTCCAGTTTCTTCATCGGTAAGGCACAGAGCATCGACCTGAATAGCACGCCGAGGGAAGGCGTACAGAGGATTCTACTATGAATGGGAGACCGGGCTCATGGCTGATAACGTCAAGAGCATTCAAAACGGGTTGATTGAAGATCATGGCGCCTGGCAAAACACATCGGACCGGAAGAAGACACCACCAATCCGCCCCGCTTGATTTGTTGATGACACCCCAACGCATGCGATGACAGTCAGCCTCCAACACTGTAGACAGACTGCTCTCCAACACAAGTGCCAGGCACGATTCACCGCACCACATCAACACGGGCGGTGTGGTGTTTGACGGTGTGTCTCAGGATCTACGATCTTAGCCGCGCTTTTGGCTGGATACATGAGAGAAGTCATGCGCGGAGTTAACGAAGAGGCCTACCGCGGTTAACGGTCTTGGTCCTAGAGCCCAGCACACCAACCAGACTTGACAGAAGGAAGCGCTGCTTATCTTACTGTGACATCAAGTTTTTCTCACGTTGTCGAATGATTCGGTCCCCGATGGGCACATCCATAGTTCGACGTCGCCGACAAGTAGTAGCCCGTGATCGATGCAGCTTGGAGCGAAGAAGGACAGCTCCTACATGCCATTGACGGGTGCACACACACACGCGGATGGAAACGTCTACAAGCGGGCTTCTTGCTGTGCACTTCGAACCACCGTGTGACGGCACCAACTCTGATTAAACGCCAATTTGTTTCCTCTTGAAGCACAGACCTCGCGCTCGTTTGTATTGTTCTCTTACGAGCGCCGTGTGACATCACCAGGTACTATGGATGGCGACGACAAATAACCTTGCACCACCTATGCATGTGTTACCGAAGAGAGTTGTCTGATACTGTCGTATTGGAGCTGAGCGTCGTGGGGGATCATTGGTGCTTAGAATCCCATTCTCACCGCCTTGTAGAGTGCGGCCAAGTTGCGAAGAGATGTCTCAGTTTGCCCTGCGTAGGCAGCCACGTCCCAGACGCTTTCAACAGCCTCGCTCTGTATAGAAGAAGGCCAACGGACAGATGTAAACGGCGCGACAGGTTTCCAGTTTACGTGTTTTAGCCTACAACTGCGTGGGGCCCCGCAATCGGCGGTCCGGATCGGGTCCGACGGGGTCAACTCGTAAAAGCAGGGTAAGGCATTGAAAACATACATTCCTGGAAAGCGGAGGCCTTGGTGCAGCAAGCGATGCGTACGCCACTGTCACGCAAAGTGAGTGTAGCTGCCTACGCTCGGGGCGCTCCTCACATTGACATTGCCACGCTCCAGAATGAGCGCGCCCGTAAGGGCATCCTGAAGTGTAGATAAGACAAAAGTACCCCTTAGTCGATCATCCGCGGTCGGATAGTACCCTTTCTGCACCATGCAGTTGAACTGCAAGCAGCACGGGCCGCCGTTGAAATCCTGTGTGGGTGTTCGCGAACGCGAACGAAGTAACAAAATCAAGAGGACGGTTGAGTGAACCAATGGAGAAAGTTGCTTTGATGTGGGAAACTATCTGATATGGGAAACCATCACACCGCGACCGTGCTGGGAAGGTAGTTGGGCAGGGATGGGCCAAGGTCGATGACACCGATTGGTCACACACGCGAGTTCACCTCAGCACAGATGGTGCTGTAGGCCATGGAGGGGTCCGCGGCGAGAGGCGCCAACATGTCGCCGAGAGTGCCGTCGACATCAAAAAAGAAGGAGCTGTCGAGAACGACGCTCAGCTCTGAGACCTGCTTCGGCAACCGTGGAATTAGGCGGGAATACGGCGGTCTTGATGACTTCTGAAAGCCGTCCATCAATGACAATAGACTGAAGGGAAGGTAGGGAGTCCGGAAGACATTGGACGGTCATTCCTGTCCGAAGATCGACGCCGGCTACGCAGAAAATGACAACCGCATACAGGCGGAGGTGTTGCAGCTAAGGTGTCGTAGTCGTAGTGTATCCGTTGTCTTCGTCCCGGCGACGCCTAAGGCAGTGTTTTTTGGGGGGCGGATCCCTTTGTGCGAGAAGCAAGGTCGGAGCTTTCAAACAAAAGAATAGTGAACCCTGTGTCATGCACAGCGATTCAACGGTACTTTGGGGGGCACTTCAAGGGGAGGGGGGAACGAGGGGGGATACGCCGGCAGTGCTACTCGAGAAGCCGTGTGGCGGACAGTACAGTAGCAACAGTAACGTGCTCTCGATCTTGTTCGAGTAGTGAAAGTGCGGTTTTGGATGTAGCACCAGTACGTCTGCCTGGAGCATCCAAGCAGCATGTGTATGGACTCCCGCAGGATATAACGCCAACCCCGCGACTCTTGGAAACGACTGTTCTCCTCTACACCGATTTCGAACCCAACTGCTCCGACAAACGGGCCGCAACCCACGCGTTGCTTCGCATCAAAGCTATTGTTGTTGAACGTTGGTTGCATGGAGTTGTGATACCACCATGGCTTGCCACCCCCCCCTTCCCGTCGATGCTCGAGCCTTGCGTGTAGCGCGAGTATTCTGACCTGATCGAACGATTCTAGGAGCCACGTGGCCGCGTTGAAAGCACCGATTCCCCCTGCAGACGAGCCTACCAGGACCACCGTCGCTGTTGCAGAAACGTTTCCGAGCACTGTCTGGAGCGTTTCCCTGGATTAACACGAAAATCCCCCGCCCGGAGCGACATAAAAATGAGAACGTTCATCGAAAAAAATATTGCTGTGAAGGTGGCCCGTGGTAGGTTGGCTATAGGACATCTGACACGCGTGGGGGTGTTTTTTGTTGGCTTTCGCTTCACAGCTACTGTGGTCACAGAAACAAGCGCGCGCCAAACGTTTTCCCCCAGAGAGCAGAACAACTCAATGGGTTGTCGCTAGCAATAATACCTCACATCGCTTCACCGATAGGACGTACCGTAGGATACAGAAACCCTCGCAGGCCCGTAAACCTCGCACGGATACGGCGAGATAACGAACTGACATCTGGGCGTTCGACGGAATGAATGAAGTGCAAGAACACTACGCACAGCAGACATTGGATAACGACACATGATGAACCTCCGACGTCATTCTTCTCATGACTCTCCATGTTTTCACTTTCAAGGTGGAAGATAGCCTACCATAGCACACTCACTCTAGTAGATGCCTTCCGCGAAATTGCAGTGTGCCATCGGCAGAATCAGAGTGCAGAATGTACGTGTCCATGGTGCAGTAGTGGATGAAAACTCGGTTGTATGTGCTGCACGATGGTGGATTGTTGCAGAAGAGAATCGAGCAGAGAGGGGTTGATGCGGCCGTACAAAGCCATGCATGTGGGTCTCAGATCAGCGATCTCGAAGGAAGACGTACGGCATTTTTCACGACCACGTCGAAACCAATATGATCCCAGGCAAGGAACGCAGTATACTAACCCCGTCTCGCCCCCCCTACCTGTACAACGGGTTCTCCTCCGGGTCGTCCGACAACACGCCGTGGGCGTTCATTGCATCTGGTAGCCCGGTCGAGGTGAACGCCTGCGGGCGGTCGTCGAGATACCTGTAAATTGGCAACCAGGACAAAATGCGCACGGTGTTCAACACTCCCTAAAAAACATTCGGCTTCACGTGTTGTGTTTCCTGCGACTTGCATGACTAAGGAGGTGCCCGAATCCCAACAGAGGCCAACTTCCCACCCTTCGATTTGCTTGTTGCTGTATCGTTGACAGGTGCAGCTCTATTCTTCGTGGTTGCACCGAACCACGCGTCCCTACTTACTCATCACAGAGCTCTTCATCATATGCACACGCTCCCCCTCCTTGAATGAACATCACGTAGTCTGTCGATGACGTGTTCGTCGCCATGTAGAAGACCCCGGGTGAACCATCAGCGCAAACAGCTGCAACAGGGAAAGCGAAGGGCGTCGTGGTTGCGCAAGGATCTCGCTGTCACCTAATCGGAACTGGTGTCCGAAAAACCCATAAGATGCTCCAGAGAGGAAGTGACCGCTACTACTGTACGTAGAACTCAGCGACCATCCTGCGCACCAGAGTGGTGGTGGACGAGGAGCGGTCGTGAACAGAGATGTGAATATTTCCAGATCAACAATTGCTTTGAATTAAGCAGCTGTTCATGAGCTCTACAGCTGGATGCATCCAGGATTTGTGAGGGGTTGACCTTCGGGTGAGGGCTGCAGTATCGTCAGCCGACCACCAAAGACTTCCGTTGGTCGACAACAACGCACACTCGCAGGTACGGGATTCATTCGTCCGCGGAAAAATTATTGAAGTGCGCCTGGCACTAACGCTCGCTTCGGTGCATGCGGAAAATTCGTGCTTGGTGTGTGCTGCTGTAGGATGCATAGCACTACAAGCCACCCAAGACCTCCAAACCAATTCTAAATGGTCATGAGTGTCGGGATTTAAAGCCTTACCAGAATCAAGAACGTGCTGCTCCATGCTAGACCCGACATCAAGCGATCCGGAGGCACCACATATCGAAAGGTGCAGCCAACCCAGCCAGCCGTAGGTGTACAGGCGCCTGTACGTGTCTGGGAATCGCATAGTCCCCCAAACCACGAATGACGCTGCCAATCGTCGAGGACCAGCAGCAAGCAGCAGCGAATGGACGACGGATTGGATGCGGGGGTTTTCGTCGTCGGAGAATAAACATGTCACAGTGAAACGGTGGGCCGAATACCCCCGCCAGGCACGAGACTAGAGAGAGACAAGAAGAAGCGGTTACGTTTCGGGTGAAACGTCAACACAAATCCGAACGCGACGCCGACACACAATACTCACGAAAGGAGCGTGGGGGCCCTTCACTGCGACCTTCCCCCACTCATAAGTGTCTCCATGTCGGCACATGCATCTGAACTTTAATCTGTGTGAACAGCGATCAGCGCGTTTCTCTTCCTCCTCTTCGCGAATTCCGGATTTTCGCGACACATCTCGGAGGAGTGTACATTCACACTCTCTCTGTGTCTGCTCTCGCGGATGCCTGCTTTCCCCTACTCGCTTACTGGCTGCTGATGTGTGTTGCGGTTGGGTGGGCGGATGATCCACTCACAGCATGGAGCAGATTATAGGCGATTTTCATCACATCTCGCTCGGTTTTTCTCTATCTATGCGGATCTCGATACTTCTTCGGAGATCGCGTGTGAGACTACATACCATACTGTAGCTCATACCCTGCCATTCAGCCATGAAAAACGGCGGTGGTACCCAAAGAAAATATCGCAAAGAGTGGAAGTGCCGCCCATTTTGGGAGAAGATTGAACCGGAAAGTCAGAGATAATGGTGTGGAAGCAGAGATGGTGGTGTGGGAGAAGGGCAGAAAGAGCTTTGATCCTTGAGATCATCAGAGTAACGGTTGGGTTTGTATTGTTTCTGTACGTGTAGGGATGGTCGTGGTGAAGCTATTTACAAAAATACAGAACGCGCCCGCACGTATGTATTGTAGGAATCTCTACATAGTTTCGGCCGAGGCTGGGGTTCTTGTTTCTAAAATAGGGTCATGCTATGCATACGAATGGTCGCTGTGAATATACTGTAGTGTCCAGCTCACCGGCTCAAACAGTGCTCAAGTTCGTAAATTTCGATTTATTTTAGGCTCGTACGTCCGGGCGTGGTCTGGTGTTGTTGTTGTACAGCAGTAGAAACAGCACAGGTTGTTGCTGGGAAGCTGATGGTGACATTCTGTGAATTGTTTGCGTGCTGCTTGGCCAGGAACACAACACAGCAGTCATCCTTTCGCATGACGCCATACCGAGGAGAGTTCGGGATCTGACAGTGTACATGTAGTCAAGACCTACAGCAGTACATGTCCAGTGCTATGGGGGAGCCGCAGACGGCGTATTGTTCGTTCCGGACGGCTTGTCAATCAGCAAGAAACCTACACGCATACTCAAGATCCGGTTAGAAGTACTTGTGGTCGGATGATCATGATTCTAAAACAAATCACAACCGGAATTTTGCACAATACGTACATGTACGTTTTTTTCTTTTTTTTTCTTAATACAAACGTGTCTGCCCATCACGTGTGCATTGACACTTGATCGTCCTTCCTTGCGACAACGAGGCCTTCGGCGATCGCACCCTACCTTTGTGTGCAGGCGGACTACACAAACAAAGTAAAATGAATTATGTTTTGTCTTGTCTGGCCATCCATGATGGGGTTCAACACAATACAAGCAAAACACACACGTTGAAAACATCAATGTACGTGAAACCAATTGGAGCAACCAAGTTGAAACGCCGAACACTCCCCACTCTGGCGCATCAATCCCAACACGCACGATGCTTTGCACCTGTAGGCCTCAACCGACCAATACCACTATACTATGAATGGGCAAACGCTCTGATGTCCAGCTGCGGCATGCCGTGCCGGACTAGCGGCATGTAGTGTGCTGCGAAGAATGCCATCTTTGCCATACGGAGGAAATGCCCGGCCTCGCCAATGCCACACGACTCCGCGTACTCTTGTAGAGGACCTAAAATCGCAGACAGTTCCGCGAACAATGCGGCGCCTTTATCCCTCCACCTCCCTCACTCTCAGAATCTTCGGTGTTGTCTAGCTCTACCTCGTTGTCAGGAAAGGTGTCCTCTTCGACGTACATGTTGCCAACCTTTATAAAACAATCTCCCTTGCGTCTTGGCACAGAGCTTGCGGTGAAAAACAGGGAGGCTCCGTCGTTTTGAATTGCCACTATCGGGGGGGTGAGATGCCCAAAATGCCACTATTGAGGGCCCCGTCCTCAATAGTGGTACGATGCCACGATATCGGGCTGAGATTGTGACAAGAGATTTTGATGCAACTATTGAGGGCATTTCACTATTCAGGGTGCCACTATTTCCGGGACCACTACTGCATACAATTGTGTGTACCTCCCTAAATGATTTCGCGAGACGTCCCATTTCCACGAAGACTTCGGAATATTTTTTCGTGAATACGCCCCAGAATTTAGCGTGGATACACCACGAGATAAATCCAGTTCGTGACATTCGGATGACTTCACAAGGAAGGCCGGAAGATTAGGAAAAATATATACACACATTGTTGAAAGCAAGCCGACGAATATATCGCCACGAAAGAAAAACCTGGATAGACGGAATTCTTTTTTGCAGCATTGGCCGTATTGAGGACACTGGCTACTGTCGGAGACAGAGGCCGGTGCCGTGGCAGTATTATCCCACTGCCAGGGGAAGGCTATTTCCTCTCGTGATGTGTAAACGAGGAGAAGAGGGTAGAAAGAGAGAGAGTGGCCATAGCGGCAGAGGGAGAGGAGAGTGGAAGACTCTCCGCTTCCACTTTCGGCAAGTAAGTGGCCAGGGACTTCGGAAGATATCCATCTCCGACGGTGCCTTTCCTGTCACTCTCCTTGTGACAAGATACATACCCCGAGGGAGCCATATCTTCCTACACTTCGTATGTGCACACATGGTTGGTTATACTCCTGACAGGTGTTGTTGGGTGGCTTGGTGCGCCCGGCGCAGTTGTAGACGGCAAAAATAAAAGAACCGCGCGGCGAGTTTGCCGGCAACGATAAAATACAGTAAACTGCCCACGGGTGTGGTAACCCGCCGCATCTATGATGTTCCGGAGCGTGATAGCTCTGATGTGTTGACGCTGGTGCTGTGATAGCTGTTGTGATGGCGTGATAGCCTAGAGGCGTGAAAGCCTGGCAGCGTGATAGATGGTGGATAGGTAGTATGGGCACGGGCGTGATAGCCCAGGGCGTGATAGCCGGGAAAAAGGAAGATGAATAAAACAAGGGCACGTGGCCAACACCGTTGCTGACACGCATACCCAGAAAACAATAATATGTGGCAAAGATGGTACCACCATTCCCCCAATTTATTACAACTGCGGAACCCCCAAAATCCCCCGCTCCATCTTCTAGGAACATTCCTCGGTTGCAATAATCTGTCAATGCTGTGAGTACATCCAACAGCCCCCCTGCTCGCTGCATTGTCAAGATTATACCCGAACTTGCTTATATTATGCATCACACGAAACCCATCCCAAAAACTCCAGAAATCAATGTCATTGTGCAACAGTCGTTTCTCCTCCCATCCTCTTGCAACAACCATAAACCATTAAACCAGAGAGACTAGTTCGAACTTCCATTTGTCGCAAACGAACCAGAAACACCTACTACCAGAATCTCCATCGGTCTCCATTGTATCCAGAATCTCCAAAGATCAAAACATTCACTAAAAACCAATAAACCAGAAACACTTGATTGCAATTCCCATCGGTTCCAAACCATTAAACCAGGAACACCACCAACAATTTCCATCGGTCGCTCATGAATTTCAAATTCCCAATATCAAATCATCCAAAACTCAAATCGTGGAAACAACCGCAATGGGTTATATCAGGAACAAATGAAAACGAACACAAATGCAAACACATCCAACACCGTCCGGGACAAATCACTTTCCGAGGAGACTTCAAATCCACACGTAGCACAAGAATCATGATTGCACAAAAATGCTCGACTCCACAATAATACCTCATCCTCATAACAACACGAAGACCATTAATACAAAAAAACCCTTTCGAGTATTTTCTATCGGCCAATCTTGAATTCAATGTCCAACAAACACGATGAAATTACAAACCAGAATACCTCAGCAACATGGGAGCAACACCAAACCTGCCTCAGAAACAAAATCTCCTTGAAACATGTGACATCGCTACGTGCCCTGCCTGCGTGGTTGACAGCGCGAGGTACATTGGAGTCATGGAGTGCTACAAAGATAGGCCCCCCTTCTTCTTTCATTATTTTTCCTCAAACACAAACAAACCTCCGTTCGTTCAGTTTCCTACAATACCTTTTATTTTCTTCCTGCATACCCTACCCATGCATGTCTGGCTGCGGCCCCCCTTCTCCGAACACCAGACGTGAAGGGATCAACCCTCTACTTGGTAAACGCATCTTGTGACATTTGGGTACTGGAAACAACCCCAAAATCGCAACCTGCATTGTCAAATCCCGAACTCTGCAAATCGAACATCGAAAACAGACGAAACATTCCATTCTTCGTAACATTGCTGTAGTTAATTGTCATGACACACCAATTCCCCCCCCAATGACAATTGACAACAGCATCGAAGACATAGCATTTTATATAAATAGAGGGGTTACCCCTGGCCGATGGTACATGGAGAGGCGCGCCAAACACACAGGGGACAACAACAATGTAGATAGAGCCTTCTACCTAAAAAAAATGCCACACGCAGAAGGAAAAAACAAAAACAACAAGCACAACCATAGTAGCGGCCTTCGCGACATGGCCGCAAGGATTCAAACCAATAACCCTATTCCATCATCATGATCCTTTCTGAACAGTTTCAACGCAGCCTTCATGCCGTCAAATATTCTTGCAGGTGCAATTTCAATCGCAAAATCAAATCCGAAAGAACGCCGAAAACAAGCCAAAACCAAAAACCAACCAAAAAAACAATTCCGGATCCACAAACCCGCATACATCTGTCACTAAACCGCCGTTGCCCGTGGTTTCCATCCCCGCTGGGCGATGCATCCTTCTCTGGAAATTATCTCAAACCGTCAACAGCACAGAACCATTCTCAGACAAATACCAAACAAGCGGCAGCGCTGCATCAGAAAAACATCGGAATGGGGACGGACAATTCTGAGGAAAACAGCTTCAAAGAGTAGGCACAAAAACTCAAACGAAACAATGTTACAATTTCTTGGACGACAGAAACGAGTATTCGGAAAGCACATAGGCCCTAACAATCACTCCTGCCAACTCCTTGCTCCAGTATAGTCGTTGAGCACCAAACTAAACAGTGCGCACACGCAAATCGGTGCCGCCGTTGCTGTCCACGAAACGGATAGAAAACTAAACAAACATATAGACAGCCCCCCGCTGTCACATCCCGAAACATACCCCTTACATTTCCAGAGTTCATGCAAGAACACTCCGCGAATATCAAAATGCCAACTAACAAACATGGAGACAGCCCCCCTGCAAAGGTAGCTGTTCATATGGGGAAACAAAAACAAATCGATTGCTGTTCATGCCCTCTAGAATCATGGTCACACATGACATCCCCCCCCCCATGATTCTGGATGTACATAAAAACAGCAACAAAGAAGAAAAAACCAGTGCAAAAGTAAAACGCGCTGCCAGAAAGAAAGGCAAAAAAAACTAAACTAAACACGAAACCCACATTGTTAGATCAGACTCGATGTCGTCGCGCGATGCAAGGCGCGTCACGAGCCCAAACGGAGCGCCCCGCTCGGAGGGGCGACCCCTAGCAGGTTGTTCTTGATCTCCCACATGCACCCCTCCCAAACATCCTGTTCTCCACCGCCCTCCATCTCGTCGCCCCCCAGCTCGCCTTCCCCCAGCTCACCGGTCCGTATCATCCCAGGCCAAATCATCGGCTTGCCGTTCAATACGCGCCGTCGGAGATGGATGTGGTCCATCGGCCTCGGAGGTCGGCACCGATTTGCGTGTCGGCAACGGCGCGGCGGTAGTAACAGCGGCGGGCAGCGGAGCGGCGGTAGTCCTCGTCGCAGTCATCCGCGGGTCCGGCAGCGCGGCGACATCCGGCGAGGATGCAGGCGGCACGGGTGCCCCGGGACTTGGCGGCAGCGGCGGTGGTGCGGCGGCGGCGGCGGCGGCGGCGGCTGCAGGCCAAGGCGCAGCGGTGGCAGCGGGCTGCGAAGCGGCGATGGCCCCGGGTCCCAACTCCCTGGGGGAGGGTGTTCCCTTGTTGCTTGTCAGTCAAACTCAAAACGGGTTGGGGAAAGTAGCCAGCGCGGTGGTGGAAACCGTCAACATCCATTTGTTCGGCACGACCCAACACAGCCACATCACACTTAGACGCAACACCTTCCCTCGCATCAAACATCCCCGCTCTCGTCCCCGAGTCTCCCTGCAACTGCTCACCACCTTTGGGTGTTGACATCCTAGTGTGCCATACCGGGGCTTGAAAGGTCACAGCAGGCTTCACCACAGGAACCACAGGAACATCAGGCACAGACATACCAGCAACGGGAACACCAGACACCTCCCCATCACTAACAACTCTAATCTCATTTCCAGACACAGAATCAGACTCGCCTAGAGAATTCACACTACGTGTGAGGAAGAGACGAAGAGGGGCGCCACTTGCTGGAGGAGTGTCGCCCGGAGGTGGAGAGGGGGTCGCCGTCGAGGAGGCAGAGGTCGTTGGATTAGCGCCGATGTACTGCTGCTGCTGCTGCTGCTGCTGCTGCTGCTGCTGCTGCTGCTGCTGCTGAGTCGCCGGCTGAGTAGCGGTGCTAAAGGCCTCGTTGAAGACTCGCTGCTCATCAGCGTCGGGCCCTGCAGAACGGGGACAGAACGGGCGGCCCCGACCCCAGCTTGCCCCTTGGTCGAGTTGGTGCAGCTGCTCTCGATATGATCCGCCCGACAAGCGCCCCGATTCTTGCCCCCCGGCCTGAGGAAAACCTGGTCCCCGCATACCGTCCCTCTCGCGAATGAACGCCATGAAGTCGTTGTAGTGGAACAAGAAGTCCTTGCGAAGTTTATGGCAGTCTGGGGTGTTGTGGGAGGAGTTCGCTCCGTGAACCTGGCAGAAGAAGGCACCTCTCTGCTCATGAGATGGTCCGCCATCCGCTCCCGCAGCAGCTGCTCTCCTCATGCCGCCGTCCCGGCCTGCGCCGGCAGCGACGGGCGCATGCCTCGTGTCCTCGATCCCCTCCCCACACCTCCGTTTGATCCTCTGCTCGTGCTCGACCAGCCTCAGCGTCTCTTCCAGAGTACCTCTCGAAAGCATGGGGTGGAACAGAATACGGTCTTTGACATCGTCGTACATTGGGAGCAAGCCACGTGCAAAGTGTCTCGACATTAACGTCTCCTCTCGATTGTCCCCACAAGACTGTAATTGCATCCACACAGTATTCGCCCTTCCCCAGTAGTCGACCAGAGTCTCTCCATGCTTCTGTCTAAGGCAGTTCCAAGTGCCGTCCAGGATTTCTCTCTCATGCGTCCTGTTTGTAGTGTAGTAGGACTGAAACACTCTCCACCCTGCTTGTGGACTCTCTGAAGCTAGTATCTGGTCTAGTATAGGTTGAACGTTGATTTTCGTGATCAAGCACATCCAGACTCTCGTGGCCTTTCGAACACTTTCATCGCCATACCTCTGCCGCAACCAAGTCTTATCGACGTGCAACGAACCCACAGGAATCTCTTCTCCTCTCATGATCTCTTCAAGACCCTCTGCATCCATCCACCCTGAGAAACAACTCGTAAAAATTCGGAACGCGACAGTCACACTTCGATCCTTCAAGAAAGCATCATTCCACTCAGGTACTTCGACTCTCTCTCTCAGCTTCAACTCTATGGGCTGGGAACTAGACGTGCCTGAGCGGACGTCATGTCCCGGAGTCTGGGAGGCGAAGTTGGCAACCCGGCGGAGGAGGTCGACAAGGGCGATAGTTGGATCTTGTTCCCCTCCATCCGCGGCTGCTTTCGTTCCTCCCTGCTGGTCCACATCGGGGAGGTTCAACGAACCTCGTCCTTCCCCCCCGTTGTCTTCCCCGTGGGGAGAGGAACTAGTCCCTGGTCCCCGCGGAGGTCTTCGTCCATCTCCTCCAGCCGTCTTATTCGCGCAGACACAGCAGCCACTTTCTTGATCTATTTCGCTAGCGTGTTGGGTGGCTTGGTGCGCCCGGCGCAGTTGTAGACGGCAAAAATAAAAGAACCGCGCGGCGAGTTTGCCGGCAACGATAAAATACAGTAAACTGCCCACGGGTGTGGTAACCCGCCGCATCTATGATGTTCCGGAGCGTGATAGCTCTGATGTGTTGACGCTGGTGCTGTGATAGCTGTTGTGATGGCGTGATAGCCTAGAGGCGTGAAAGCCTGGCAGCGTGATAGATGGTGGATAGGTAGTATGGGCACGGGCGTGATAGCCCAGGGCGTGATAGCCGGGAAAAAGGAAGATGAATAAAACAAGGGCACGTGGCCAACACCGTTGCTGACACGCATACCCAGAAAACAATAATATGTGGCAAAGATGGTACCACCATTCCCCCAATTTATTACAACTGCGGAACCCCCAAAATCCCCCGCTCCATCTTCTAGGAACATTCCTCGGTTGCAATAATCTGTCAATGCTGTGAGTACATCCAACAGGTGTCCTCCACATCACCCCCCCCTCTATGCGCCACAAGTCCATCTGTGCTAAAGATGTGCTTTTGGCGGCCATAGCCATGAGTGGCTCATGGAGACACCACATGTATTGGAGTTAACCTACCTGGTACAACATCCATCAACTCGGCCTGATTATCATACAACGCGTGTTAAAAAACACGGAGTCTTCAGACGGAGTAGTGATAGATGTGGTCCATACTAGTATAGTCTAGAAAAAAATTGTGGGTACTGGGCTATCATGATGACAGCTAGTGTACTAAAATATTTCGCATGTTAATGCTGTGGGGTTGATGAGGGATAAACTTGTAATGAGGTGACCCTCTGGCAAGTTTGTCTATTCATCATAATTAAAATCTTTACGAGAGATAGACTCGTAATGAGGGGACCCTCCGGCGAGTCTGTCTTTTCATCATAAAATAACATCGTGATGAGGAATAAACTTGTAATGAGGTGATCCTCTAGCAAGTTTTCTCTATTCATCATCGAAAAATAAGATCTTGGTGGGATGAACGTGTAATGAGGTGACCCTCTGGCAAGTTTATCTATTCACCCGGGTGAACTTGTAATGAGGTGACCCTCTGACAAGTTTATCTATTCACCAAAACATAAGATATTGAAGGAGGATGAACTTGTAATGAGGTGACCCTCTGGCAAGTTTATCTATTCATCAAAAAATAAGATATTGATGGAGGATGAACTTGTAAAGAGGTGACCCTCTGGCAAGTTTATCTATTCATCAAAAAATAAGATATTGATGGGATGAACTTGTAATGAGGTGACCCTCTGGCAAGTTTATCTATTCATCAAAAAATAAGATCTTGGGACAGCGGTGGTATAATTCAACTCTCCTCGCGAGTGTTTCCCCAAACACAACCACCGTGGCTACTGGTCCTGTGCTAAGTATATATATAACACAGAATAATAGTAGTATAAATTTGTCCCAAGTCTCGGAAAAGATAGACATGGCAACTGTTAGGAACGATAGAATAAATCAATCGTTTAATTTCCGGGCCCTAGTTCGTTTTCGTTTGCTAGTACGGCAGGGCAATTGAGTATCACTCTGTCTGTCTCTAAATCGGATGTATCCTAGGATTTCTAACGCTGATCCGTCTGCGCTATTCAACTGAATTGCGCCAGGAGGCACAGGTTTCAGAGGCAAACGTTGCAGGACCGGATGCGATTTAATAAAAGACGCTGATATACACGGTACATCAGCTGCTGTGTCGATAGTAAGGTCAGACACAGCGTGATTACAAACTCGGGCAGGAATTCGCACTCTCTTGGAGAACGAATTTATCGCATTTGGGTGTTGTGGATATTTACTCAGTGCTGACGCATGAAACGCCGCATAGGTGGGTCCACCACTCGATGCACTTGAAACAGAGGCACGTCTTTCCGTGCTATGATTAAATGGCATACTACCAAACAGTACAAATTCAGCTTGCGGGGCTAACCTAGAAGTCGGCACACGAGTGCGCTTGTTCTTCCTATTTTTCCCTGCTTTGCTACTTGACCGACTATGAAACAGTGCCTGGGCAGAATCTGCTACCGATGTCTCAGAATTACTGCTAGAATCTTGAACGGACTTCACATCACCACTCACCCGAGGAAAAAATGATTCCCTCGATTTTCTACTGTCATGCACATATGGGGCTGAGTCAACTCGGGCATCCTGTGCTACGTGAGTTTCCTCAGCTAATTGTGTGCTATCGACCTGTCTCCCTACGAGCGAGGAGTCCCGTGAAGGGCCCCGTCATGCTTTAGTCCAAGTCCATCCCTTTTCTTGCGCGTGCTTTTTCTTTAAGCCACACTGTTCGATGGGGTGGTTGAACTTGAACCCCGGGTAGGGGCACGGTTCTGCTTTCGTTGCCGAAGAAGAGCTTCCCTTGCCCGTGGTGCGCGCCTTTTTTGGGGCGCCCTTACTCGAACTGGTCTTGGTGGCGGCCCGCATCGACTTGAGCCTCGTTACTTCAGCTTGTAGGCCTTTAATGACCGCCGAATTCGAGGACACGGTTTGCTTCAGCTGTGGGGGTTCAGGGTATGCAACAGCGGATACGGTGTCGGATGTGGGTGACGATGCGCCTCTCAGATTATTTGCCTCGTGTTTTTTCGCGCCGAGTCTTGCGTCCTGAAATGATTTTGGGGGGTCCTCTCGAACACACTCTACTCTAATGTGAGGTTTCAGGCCGTTCTCAAATGTGGCAGTCATGAAAACGTCCCATGCGTGTTCGTAGTGGCTAATGTGGGAGGGACCTGAGCGAGCCGCCTCTGCATGGAGGCGTGTGCGGGCCTGAGTAACTTTCAGCGCAAGCCCGTCCACTGTCGTCTTTCCTTCCTGCCTGAGAACGGCTATCTCTCTGGCTAATACCGCAATGCGGTTGGGCGCGGAGAAATGAAAGGTAAAAGCTTGACAGTATTCGTCCTAAGTCGCCGGTGCTCGTGGTCTGACAACTTGTCCTGTGTTCCGAAGTGCGGTCAACCGGTGTGCCGATCGCCATTCGAGAGTACCACTAACCAGTTCGACTAGAGTGTCATAGGCTTGGCCTCGAATGACGAACGGGAGGAATTGAATCGCTCTTTGGTCTACTACAGATTCGGGCCGGGTCGTCTGCTGCAACAGAGGCTAGTTTCACACGTGCTAGGTATCGGGTCAGAATCTCAACAACATCGGAATCTCCTGGTGTCCCCGAAAACGATATTTCTTTCGGAAGGTCGTTCTGGCGAAAATTAAACTTCTGGGTGTGTCCCGATGTATGCGTTGAGGTAGGGGTGCTTGTGGGCATAGAAAAGCGCGCAAGCGGGGGCGTAGACGGTGCGACAGGGTTGCTAGTCCTGTGTGCGCTGTCCTGGCTATCCGGAGTAGGGGCCAACTCGGGTGCTACAGGGTTGCTAGACCTGTAATCACTATTATCTTGGCTATCCGGAGTAGATGTTAAATCAGGGGCTAGGTTCCGAGGATGGACAGGTGTGTTCTGAGTGACAGCAGGCAAGATTGGTTGACGAAAAACAAGGTCGGGGGAGGTGCTACCTCCACTGCTCTGATTTCCCTCAACTGGTATACTGCTACGTGCTGTCGAAGAAGTATTCACCTGGGCCACCTCTGCTGCAGAGGCCGGAGTCGTGGTGGGGGGAGTTGCGGTAGGGCGGAAGAGGGACACCAGCCACTCGGGTGGATTCGACTGCTCCTTCCAGTGGTGGGAGAGCATGTCAGCAAACTGTCCCCCAGCGGAGGTCATGAGCGCCTGTCGGTCATCCGCGGACACGTCCTGTGACCGGAAGCCCTCGAGCAATTGGTACATGATGTGCCGTTCGCTCTGGTTAGCCCATTCCTCGTCGCCGTCATGTTCCTCGTCGCCGCCATGTTCCTCGTCACCGCCGTTGTCCGAATTCTCCGGGGTGGCTCCTTTCTCCTCACCGCTGCCCGGCTCATCCCCTTCGGGAATCGACTCCTGTTGGGAGTGGTCTCCCTGAGAGGGACGCTGCGCAGACACGCGTGGAGAGGGGGTGCCCCTTCCCGGCGTTGCAGAGGTCAACGGTGACGGGGAAACAGTGACGCCGAGCTGTTTCCGCAGCTCCTCCAGCTCCTGCGCCTGCTTCGCCAGCGCCGCATTCTTGTCAGCGACGAGTGCCTTCGCCTCCTTGACTTCATCGCGTAAGTCTCTCCTCTTTTGTGAAGAGGTTTTCGGCATGTTTGGTTCTCTTTTTCTTAGTCGTCTCTCCTCGCTACAGTAGTCACGGCGGAGCCGTGTTCTAGTCGACGCCAATGAGGACACTGGCTACTGTCGGAGACAGAGGCCGGTGCCGTGGCAGTATTATCCCACTGCCAGGGGAAGGCTATTTCCTCTCGTGATGTGTAAACGAGGAGAAGAGGGTAGAAAGAGAGAGTGGCCATAGCGGCAGAGGGAGAGGAGAGTCGAAGACTCTCCGCTTCCACTTTCGGCAAGTGGCCAGGGACTTCGGAAGATATCCATCTCCGACGGTGCCTTTCCTGTCACTCTCCTTGTGACAAGATACCCCGAGGGAGCCATATCTTCCTACACTTCGTATGAGCACACATGGTTGGTTATATTCCTGACAGGTGTCCTCCACAGTATGGGGAAAATATGTATGTATGCAGCAGGGAAGACCCTGTGACCACGAAAAACAATTTCCAGCATAGGCCCACGGGGAAAATAAAAATACAAGAAAATAAGACAAACTTACGTGAGCTTTGAGGACGCGCTTCCGGGCTCGTTTCTTGAGGGTCTTCGAGGCCCGTCGGGCGTCGTCGTCGTCCACGCACGGGACTATCCAGGGTTTTTCGTGGACGAGATCCCCGATGGTGTCCCTCCGGCAGATGCCACGCTCTGCCTTGATGTCGGAAAGGGTGTCGTATCCTTTGGTGACGGCGACCAATCCTGACGTCATAATGATAGACATTGGGGCAGAGAGGGACAGAAAAAATATGAATAAATACTGTAGTATGCATAGGAGAATGGATGAGCGTATGACGTGGAAGCGGGGCAGTTGGGTGGGTGTGGCGGCAAGTTACGGTGGGGAGGCAGGTAAGCACAGACCCGCCCACACCCGCATCTCGAGTCGCGACACCCACACAAACGTATATGCTCATGGAATCTGAGGGCGACAACAGCTAGCTCACCTGGGTGATTGTCGCGTACTCGACGAAGTAGCGTGGATGGATGCCGTTGTGCGGGAACGGATTGGTTTATGCCCGAGTACACAAAAGCGTAAGCGCATGCACCCGAAAGGACGACCTACCTATGTTCTGAAGACGTTAATGGAGATGAAGAAAGATGACATCCGACGAAAGCGTCGCGATGGGGGTACACGATGAAGCGCAGGCGATGCAGGACAGGGCCGGAAGGAGGTAGCCGACTAGTCGAAGAGGATGATCGTGTGTCGTGAAGAACTAAGACAATCGTCGGGTCTTGAAGGGAGAGAGGCAAAGCAGCAGTGTGTGCTTTTGGGAAGGGTTGCTGCGAGAGTGAACGGGGGAGGGGATGAGGCCAGGGCGGACAACAACTGTTGGGGTCGGGAACGAAGCGATGAACGGGACACACCAATCAATTCACTGGGAAGACGTCATTCGACGGTTCACGGAAATACGCTGCCGGACGCAAATAATTCCTTCCAATTTTTCAAGTTCTGCCGCTCGGAAAGCATTCGTCCCAAAACCGTTATAAACTCAGGGCCGTGTGTGTGAATTGTCCCGGGCACGGCGGGCCACAGCAGTTCAACATTAGTAATAATGGAGAAGTTCTACCGCTCGGAAATGTTTCGGTCCAAAACCATTAAACTCCGAGGCGTGTGTGTGAAAATTGTCCCGGGCACGGCGGGCCACGGCGGGCCACGGCAGTTAAACACTAAAAATCGAGAAGCTCTGCCGCTCGGAAAGCATTCGGTCCGAAAACAGTTGGAACTGCGGGGCGTGTGTGTGAATTGTCCCGGGCACGGCGGGCCACGGCAGTTAAACATTAAAAATCGAGAAGTTCTACCGCTCGGAAATTATTCGGTCCAAAACCATTAAACTCCGAGGCGTATGTGTGAATTGTCCCGGGCACGGCGGGCCACGGCGGGCCACGGCAGTTAAACACTAAAAATCGAGAAGTTCTGCCGCTCGGAAATTATTCGGTCCGAAAACAGTTGGAACTGCGGGGCGTGTGTGTGAATTGTCCCGGGCACGGCGGGCCACGGCAGTTAAACATTAAAAATCGAGAAGTTCTACCGCTCGGAAATTATTCGGTCCAAAACCATTAAACTCCGAGGCGTATGTGTGAATTGTCCCGGGCACGGCGGGCCACGGCGGGCCACGGCAGTTAAACACTACAAATCGAGAAGTTCTGCCGCTCGGAAATTATTCGGTCCGAAAACAGTGGGAACTGCGGGGCGTGTGTGTGAATTGTCCCGGGCACGGCGGGCCACGGCAGTTAAACATTAAAAATCGAGAAGTTCTGCCGCTCGGAAAGCATTCGGTCCGAAAACAGTTGGAACTGCGGGGCGTGTGTGTGAATTGTGCCGGGCACGGCGGGCCACGGCAGTTAAACATTAAAAATCGAGGAAGTTCTACCGGTCGGAAATTATTCGGTCCAAAACCATTAGACTCCGAGGCGTATGTGTGAATTGTCCCGGGCACGGCGGGCCACGGCGGGCCACGGCAGTTAAACACTAAAAATCGAGAAGTTCTGCCGCTCGGAAATTATTCGGTCCGAAAACAGTTGGAACTGCGGGGCGTGAACTGTCCCGTGCACCAAGGACCACACTTGAACATGAACATCAATGCACCGCACGAACCTAACGAGACTATGTAGAAGACTGTGTAGAATTTATTAAGTCTATACAAACAATATTTCCGACTTCGGGCAGACGATAGATATCGTCGGCGTTGGTAGTCCCAAGCTGGCTTTGTTTTTTTGCTCCTTGTTTCAGGCTTGAGAACGGAAGCAGGGACGGACTCCTCATGTACGCATGCTTCAGGCAGTGGCATGTCGATTAATCGCGAAATATGCATGCACTACTGTCCAATTGTAGAGCCAAAAGAGGTTTGGAAACGGCCTAATAGTACGCGCCAGAGAAGATTTTTTTGTTTTGCAACGGCAACGCATGAACCTGTTTCGCCTACAAGCGGTTTTGACGCCCGAGTGTGTCTGAAAATAAATACACTCACAGAAAGACCACCCATTAGAGATATAGTCTACCCACAGCCGAACGGGATGTGGTGAAGTCTTTTCAGTGAGTGGAGGAAAACCGGCTGGGTACTGGACATATTTCGAGCCTTTTTAAGTCTAACACTGATGATTTATTCAGTGTGTCATCAGTGATGATACCAGCTGGTCCTAAGTACTAAAACATCTGTATTGCTAACCTACATTTTACTATTCATCCCCTGAGTTCTGTGCTGGGTGAACGGCTAAATATCTGGGAGAATCCCTCCTTTGTGTCGTGTGTCGTTTGGTGTTTTCCTTCACGGGGACCACGGCGTAGTGTCGATGACAACTTGGTAGTTTTAGATACGATTTTAGGAATTTTTTTTTAGGAAAAATAATGATTTGCCGTGAAGTCACCAACGAAACCTCTCTGTTGACCATCTCCGAGCCCGCGGGAGGAAGGATGGGATACAGCCAGTTGTGAGAACAAGACACCAAACTTTTTTTTCATCCAACGGAGAAATACCCTGAAACCCTTCCAGGATTTATCGCACAGGTTACCACCACCATCCGTACCATGACGAGTGAAACGCCGTCTTGCCTGCGGGACACGGAATACCATAAAAGAGAAACCATAAAAGAGAAAACACACACAAACGAATCAAGTCACGCCACTTTTGAGAGAGAATATAGGTCAATATTCAACGTTGTTCGACACTAACAGCCAAGAGCTCATCACGACGAGCGAGCATGTCACACCCGTCGGAACTTCCATCAAAAACAGCCACAACAACACAATATTAACAGTCGCCAACAGCGTATGCAAGTACATTCTAAACAGTCACCAATAAAGCAGTCACCAACAACGCGAAACGGTACCAACAGCAGACGTGACCTCCACCACCGGATGCCTCAGAGGCACAGTAGGGTCGCAAGGGCGAGGTCCGCCAGCTGCAAAATGGACACAACGTTGGGATATACCATATATGTAAAATAGTCTACAGTAGTGCACAACCGACCATTTTGCCACAGCCGGAGAGCAGACGAACAAATAGAGTTCTAGATATGTCACCAATACCCTTTGGGGGTAGTTGGCTTGTGACCACGGAAGGCGTCTGCGTCAGTTGGACTATTATAGTACGGACATTAGAAGGTACTGAACCTAGAGTGGAACGGTTTTTTAATGCGAAGACAACAACAACAACAACAACAACAGGTTAGATTGTTCCTTCATTCCAACAACAATGAACCTTCACGTATCGCCCAACCTGCGAACGATGAGTGGAGGCTGTCAACACATATTTTCTGGGCATTTTCGACAATTAAGGCGTGCTACTCACACGATGTACTAAGATTCACGTTCCGTGCGATAGTAGCTATTCGAACTATACAGAGATGACCCACCGCTTACTACAGCTCGAACAAGTTCGAGTACATAATTCATCGATTGTGTGATGCGCTACCCCGGCCTTCGCGGACAAACAAGTCTATCGTATGAAGGTTTTCGTTGACGGGTGAGCATTGAGGCGTTCCCGTCCGCGAGTGCAACGAAAATCCAGGCGCCAAAGCGCCAAGGGACGATAAACTGGTCCTACCGCCTAGGAGAAACGAAATGATGCCCCAAGCCTGGGGTGCACGCCCGATGAGCTACTGTAGCTCCAATGTGCCCCCCCGTATCCAGAAGCATGCTCGAGGGTTCAGTATTCCACCCTGCCATCGAAAAACAAACAATCCGTCTTGCCGTGTTTCAGAAACTCCCGGGCCTTGAAGAGTGCCACCCGCCATTCCACCTTTCATCTCAAATAACCCGGCGTGATGCCCATACACTCTGGTGCCGTTCAGATTGGTATCTACAGAGACTACAGTCCCCGTCTATCAAACAGTTGTCGCCGCCCTCGATCATCGATTACCATGTGATCACCGATGATTTCATGCTTCTGCTGTAGGTCGTGCTGCGGTCAACGCCGCCACTTAGAAGCTGCGACTGTACCCGGGCAGACCGCGCGGCACGATTTCGGGCAGATCGTAGGCCAGCTGAACCCACGTGACGTCATCGACGACGCGATACACCATCAAACCCACGAGCTGAGCGCGTTCCGGCATGGCCCAAACCCAGGTTTTCAGGAACTTTGTCTGGTGTGGGAGCGAGAACCGGTGTCAGGGGCAGGAGGGGCATCGGGGGGGTTTGCACCGTGAGTGCAGTAGTCTGCCACAACTATCCACGCCCTTCCCTTCGTGTGGAAGTCCTTCTCTGCGTCCGGGCCGTCGTCAGACAAACTTGGCATTTACGGAGCTGCGAAAAAGACTGCGGTAGAACGTATAGAACCACGTTGGAAGCACGTATATCTGTACCAGCTCAGCAAACTATTATATTTGAGGAAACTCTATTCCAACAACCAATGCCTGCTACGACTTACCCTCTGGCCCCGAATTCGTAGCGAGGACATAACCCAGCGCAGGAACTCCGACATCTCCGGGTTGGGGGTGACATCCCAGCTCCTGCGGGCCAGATCCTTAGCAATCGTGACATTCAGGAACTAGAGAATGGGCGGCAGCATTGTTTGCAAAGAGTCGAGAAAGGAAAGGGGGAAGATGGTAAGGCAGGTGGCGAGCTGGCGGGAGAGGGAGAGAGAAATACCTATCGATAACCCTTAGCAACATCCCATACGTTGTCAAGTTTTGGAGAATCACGTGGTACATTATAAGCACCCAGAACAATGAAAAATGTCTATGCGCAAGGAACCACATAGCTCTCCCGCAACACCAACGATATGCCTTACCTTGCGGGTCACGGGAGTGGAGTAAAAGTGCTCCTCGTTGTCCATGTGTTCGCGCACTTCCTTTCCGAACTTCCTAATGTTGGCCTTGAGCTCTTCCAGGAGGTTGGCAGATACTGCTTCAGTCTTCTTTCCCAGGCCGTCACTGCCGAGCAGAGAGTTCAAACCCGACTGTACAGCGTGGATCAGCTCCTCGTGCTCCTTGTGGTCGTCACCGACGGTGCTAGTCTGGTCGTACCCGAAAACAGTACATGGAGGATCGGAATGTGGGGGGCGAGATTGAGAAGAATGAAGCACGGAAGGGCACAATCGATTGGGGATGGGTACGTATCCATAGAAGGCACACTCACCCCTCCCCTTACCCAAAATCCCCGACACGAACGACGCAACTTGTTGCAATGCCGGCTTGCTGTGGTTCGCGGTACCACCTTCGCGCATCTATGCCCAACTATTTTCAATGAAATGCGCAATGACATCCTCAGTTCTGCGCCGTCATTCAGAGAAAGGGAGCCAAAAGAGGGGATTGATTGTACGCGTTCCACGAACTGTCCGCCTCTGACCCGCCCGTGGGGGCGTCCCACGCGTCCCATGGAACATTTGAACGCCGCACGGGATGTCCCACATGAAATCCCAACCCAGTCGTGTCGTTCGATAAAGAGGGGCGTCTGTGCTTGTCGTCAAGTGTCTCCTCGTCCAAGTTGCAAGCACGCTTCTCTCACGAAGCGATGGGGAGCCTTTTCGCTCGGGCATCACTTCACCCACCTGGCCGGGGAAGTACGTCTCGAGGGTCGGGAAGATGACCTCGTCCTCGTGCCTGGAGTGGACGTCGTGGGCTTTCGATATGGCCTCCCACGCGGAGGCAACCTCCCTGAGCTTAGACGCGCCCGCCGCGCCCGGTTTGACCTGGGCTGCCAGCTTTTCCAACCTCGGCAGAGCTTCGCGGAACGCCTGGAGATTACCCGTCGCAGAGGGTGTTGGTTGTTTTCCGTGGTTAGTTTGAACAACGTGAGTAAGACACCGAGGTGGTGCGGGTTTCGGCGATTTGTCTTCATATCGAAGCTGAATCGTGGCTTCTAAAACCTATTCTGGTCCAACTGATGGGGGCGTATTTTGTGTTCACAGGCTAAAACCGAAGACATTGGTGCGATGGAACCGCCTAACTCGGCTGCCAATTCACGAGAAAATTACCTAACCCCACGTCGTCTCGTACCTCGTGCGTGAGCTTCGTGAAGGACATCGGCGAAAACTTAGCCTCGGGCGTGAAGACGTGCTTTCCCTTCACGGCCCCCAGCAGCAGGAGCACGTTCACGGCGTTGACCATGGATGCAACTGTGATCGCCACGATGCTGATGACCTGTGGGAGGTATGTACGGCCACGGCAAGGTCGAACAGAGGGACAGGATCGTCAACATGGAAAATAAAGGGTTCCCATGTACCCATGGTGTCGGGGCAACAAAGACCCGTGGCTAAGCCACAACTTACGATGTTCGCGCGGTGCAAGTAGGTAGAGTTTAGCCAATTTGGTCGACGGAAAACACGTCCTACATCGGTAAATGATTTCTTCAGGGTGAGGTAATCGTGATTTGTCAAGACTTGGTGGAAGGCAATGCACCCAGGGTCCCTGCGGGAGGTAATGCTCCTATCCTTGCCTGCATGGTGTCGGTCTGGGTATAGCCGTACACGGTGATTGCGGCGGAAGCGAGCACGTCGAGGGGGAAGGCGAAGGCGAACAAGGACATGTCGAACTTGCCCCCCACGAAGAAGTTCAGAGGCCACGTGGACATTGCCAGGACCATGGCCATCGAAAGTGAAGCGTCTGAAAGAGAGAGAGAGAGACGGACACACGGAGGCAAGGCTTGTCGTCAGGTGTCGAGGGTGCACAAGGGTGTCCGAGTTGGGCTTAAGGTGCAACAATATTCGCCAGGGATAGGCTTACGTCTAGGAGCGTGTCCTGCTACGGTAAAATGTGTTGCGTTGAACCCCGAGACACTCCTGGGTCATGCCGACTAGTTGATGGGTGAGACACAATTGCCGTGCATGTTTCTGCGGAGTTTTGGTCAATTTAGGCGACATCGATAGTTTGTGGCTCGGCCGACGGAGAGAAAGGAAACTGGTTCATGCTGATACGCGTAGATACACAGGGAACCCCGCGAGGCTCCGAACAGTAACGGATGATTGGGATTCCACTCGTACTCACAGAACAAGATGCGCTGTACGTTGTCGATGGAGCTGAGACCGCTAAGGTTAGCATACGCCATCATCGCAACTGCCGGAGGTGCCACCCAAATACCGTAGAAGTTGCGGCGGTTAGGGTCGCTGTGGTGGTTGTCGATAGACTGGTGCAAATATACACGAATCGGGCAGACAAGGGAACCAGAAAACAAGCAACGGAGGGAACGGGAAAAGGGCATGAGGATCGTCCCGTGGGTCTTTTCCAGACATATATAAAATCGCAGAAAGAGACAGACCCAGGCCGGAGGAAGGGTAGAGGGAGGGCATGAATACCGTGAATTTCTAAGGGAGAGCGCAAAACGCAGAGGATCGTGGAAGCCAGATTCACAGCAGCTACCCTAGGCAAGAGAAGATCCAACCCAAAGCACGGCACTCTGCCGGCGGTGCCCGAAAGCCTCATGCCGAAAAACATAGTCTGTGTTAGGACCGAAGCCTGTAGTATTGTAGTTCGCACCATGAGGAAGGTGATCGGCCACAGCGCCAGCCACAGCAAGGCGCCCACCCCAAACAGGTACCAGCCCCACTCTGCATAGTCCCCGTCCACTGCCCTGGCGGCCATGGCTCCCACCAGGTTTCCCACGGGCATAAGGATCCACGTCGGGTTGACGAACTCTTGGTCGCGGCGGATGGCGATCCAGCTGATTGATTGGAACGGACGCGCACGTGTGACAAATGCGATTGGTGGGGCCGGAGGGGGGGCAGAGAAGCCAATCTGAGGGTTTGAGGCGGGGGTAGAGGAGAAACGAACTTGGACGTTCGCTTGAATCTGAAGTTATCGATGCTACATACTCCGCCGGCAATCACGCGGAAATGAACCACATCCCAAAACCAATGCACCACAGGCATTGAATGAGACGCTTGGGATTTCGCCTGCAACTGAACCTTCGCATGCAATCCAGGGTATACATATATAGAAACGATCCTAATTATTAAACTCGAATACCTGGCGACGGTGTAAAGAGCAAGAGCGTTGAGAGGAGCGCTGCCGATCCAAAACAAGGCCCGCGCCAGGTCTCCGCTGACGCTGGACCATCTGGTGGCCAGGAAGGACATGATGATGAAGCTGATGAACGGGACCGCAAACATGTTGTGTTTGATGGGGTGGCACCACTCCTTCCTCACCTGGTTCCACGAACGACATGAAGCAAAGTTTTTCTCATCGGTACTACGGGCATCCAGAGAAGGCACAATTGCATTTTTTCAACGCGGGCTGTGGTAGACGGTGGGGTTTCTAGATCATTTTGACGACCTCAACGCGGTGCAACACCTGCTTCATACCTTCTTCGGGTACAGAGCGCACTTGGTGAAGTACAGAGTCCCGAGTACGGCTTGAAGGGCAACACCCGTCCAAGCTAGCACCTGCGCATTTGAAACCCCGATTTCGGGCAAAAATCAAAGTCGGTGTCGCGATTAGCTTGCAACAGATGGCGTCCACGCCATGCGGAGTTTCCCCCCCCCCCAAGGACTCCACGAATTTGATGTTTTTGATGTTGGCGCACCAAAAGAAACCGGGTCTGTGCTCCAGAGCGCAGAACCCCCAAGACACAGACGCGACTGAAATCGTGGCAGTTTCTTCACTATTGTTACACTGCCAATATCTTAGGAGCATCAACAGCTCCTCCACAACCAAAATATTCATGAGTCTAAAGAGAGCAATGCCGGCAACACGAAAGTGAACGAAAGCGCTTTGCGGCGCATGTCCGAGCTTGATACCTGCCAGACGAGGGGAGACGTGCCGACCGTGTCGTGCAGCTTTGCCCAAGGGAGCGCGAGTCCCAGAATGGCTAGAGGCGCCATGAAAAGTGTAATGTGGACGTCTGCTCGGTGGGAAAGAAAGTGGTAGAATCGAAGAGTGTAACGGCAAAGAAAGGCACGCATATCGGTCAGCCGAGAGATAGATGCTTTTCTTCAATTTCGCCATTGTTACAGTAATCAGAGCCTACACAGGAATCTCAAAGGCGTCAAGTCCTGCCGGAATATATCCAGGAACCCGCGTCTTGTGTGACATGCAGAGAAAACATGATCTGCTCGGAATATTAGGAAGTCCTCGAATCTACGACATGCCGCCGGATGAAAATACCAAGTGCAAGTCGGCGGTATCTCTGGCCCCGATCGCTGGAAACCGGGATACTCAAGATTTTCCGGATACACGTTTTTTCTCCTGGCGCGGCTAGAAACACGCGGACTACGACGACAGCAAAATGAGTGCGGATCCGAAACAGTGGTACGCGCGGTTCTCGAGGCATGGGAAGTGCTTCGCACGGAGGACCAAGTACTCTTCATCGGTTCAATAAGAACACATGCTGTCTCAGAAATGGTTTCGGGTTGCGGTGTTGGGTTGCCCTTCGGCTCGTGGCGACGAAGAGAAGCACCCAATAAGGTCGGGCCGAAAAGGCGGGGAGGTTAACTCACACTTGATGATGTGGAACTGCTGCCACTTGTCCTTGGAGTCGTACGGCCTGGCGCGAAGATCGGTCGGGTTGGGAGGAAGTCCCTGCGCCACCACGAATGGCGACAGGAATCGTCAAATGAGGTACATTGCTCCCTTTGTTATATGGTGTTTTTTCATCGATAGAACGTCGGACACGCATGTTCGGAAGTAGGGTGATTGGTACTCGTGAAAAATGTTTGATGTCTGGCGTGGAGCAGACGTGCAGAATCATCAAGCTTCAAAACCTGGATTCTGTCCAGGAAGCAAGAAACAGAAAAGAAACGTTAAAGCAAAAAAAAGGCGTGTATTTCAACATCAAACCAAAGTCTAACCTTGGTCCGGTACGTGATGGATTCCGGGGCGACATCCTTCCCGGTTCGGAGATTTGCTTCATCCCACGCGTAGAGAGTGTCCGCCCTGAAATGGCGGAGGCGGCGAATGCCAAGTTTCACGGAGGGAGGGGGGGCTTTCCTTATGCTAGATCAATTTCTGAGTCAACTGCCCAAGCGCGAAGTTCGACTCAGACGGGGATTACGATTGGGACTGGTGCATGGAGGCTCTCGCCCGCCCGCTGTAACTAGACGCTTTGGTACTTTCTCTTAGGATGCAGTTCAGCGTCAGTCGATACTAGGAAGTAGTTGGTTGCTCCTGCAAGCTAGGTAATCCAGCCTTTATTCAGAGTATTGTAGGGTCATGCAGAATGGCCTGAAATCTTGCCAGTGCGGGGAGAAACAGGTTTGCTGCCGAACATCTACAAACCCTTAATTTAATTGAAGTTAGGCTTGGAGGAAGAGTGCCAAGGTTCGACACGCATTGATGGAAGAGAGAAAATCGATACGATCGCGACGAAAAGCTCTCTAAAAGGTTTCAACTCAGTACGTCTACCTGACAATCAGCAAAGGTAGCAACAAGATCAGCAGGCCACAGTCACAGCCACAGCCATGAAACAACAAAAAAAACAGCACGAACAACCACACATACCGAGTGTTGACGTGGAGACGGTAGATGGCACCGGAGACAAGGTTGAACTTGAACATGTATCCGAACACGAAACAGCCGCCGCACCAGTTGAACGCACCCTGAAGGAACGCCGCGACGCTCAGGATACCCTGCGGCGAGTTCCGGACCAATCGCAAGCGTGCGGAAATTGAGGACGCTGACTGAACGGGGTCTTGACGACGCTGGCTAAACGGGGCCTCAGTGTCTATACTTGTGTACATATGCTGCAGTTCTACAACAGCGTGTCCCGCACAGGATCTTCGCATCGGCGGCGTAAGGTGGCGTTTGCCCCGTCAATTTCTAGTTCCCGTGACCCATCCGTGTCGTGGAATTTTTCCTCCCCAGAGGTGTTCGGTTCAATTTCGAAGGCACGACGAAGTGGCTGGTCGATTTGTTTGATCGGGCGGGAACGCCATGCTTGGAGGAGGTACATTCCCGCGTGGGCGGACCGGGAAGCTCACCATCATGACCCGGGCTCCCGTGGGTTTTCCACAGAGGAGGCTTGCATACGCGACGCCAGAGAATATCATGCCACACAAGTTGGCGAATTGCCTCGCGGGTCCGGACCTAGGCCACCATCACCGGACAACGTGTGAAGGAATTAAAGCGTCGTACAATGCGTGAGAGGCGAAATGGGAGAGGGGGCGACGGGGATTCGTTCTGTGCCTGCCATCGTGGTCGACACGCATGCCGTCCCCTGCAACAGGTAGAGAACCGGGCGATCCGAACGTTCGTACCCCCAACGTACATACCACAATGTTCCTGGTTATCCCCATTGTTGTTGTGGCCACAGCATGGGCCGAATGTTTCTTGGGCTACCAACATTTCAGGTTTTTGCGGTACTTCCTCACAATGTACGGTATACCGCATTCCTTGCCAGGGGCTGCTCAATAGGCTCAACACACCCGAACTGCGAAAGGCCCTTAAACACCACAACGACAAAGAACATGCACTCAAATGCAGGAGTTTTCGGCGCCTGCTTCCGGGGGCATGGCACAACTTAGTGGGCCGAGCACATCACCAAGCTTATATGGGACGATCAAGTTGTGCGTCGCCGAAGGATGAACGTTTCAAGTATCGGGAGTGCCTGTGTGTGTGTGTGTGTGTGTGTGAGAGAGAGAGAGAGAGAGAGAGGCATGATAAATATCAAAGCTTGTGGAACGGCGATTGCTAGGGGGAACACTCACTGGAGCCTCGGCTTCGTTCCCGCGAAAGGAAGCTTGACGAGCAAGGCGTAAGGGCCGGGCAAGCCCGTCATGTCCAGGGTTTTGCTGACGAACATGCCCAATACCTGGGACGCGGGATAGGTGGGTGGGTGTTAAAACTATGAAGGAATGCGCATACAGCTGCGTCAGGCATTGGAGGCAAGTTGAGGGGAGGATGGCACCTTGAGTAGCACATCCAACAAGAACACGTCGAGTGACATGGCCCGCAGAAAAAGACTTGATCAAAATCACCTGGATAAACAACATCACCTGGATAATGATGGAGGTTACTGACGCAGCCCCCCCCCCTCCCCACAACCCCAGGGAAGCTCGGCAGCTCCAACCTCTCAAGCGTTCTGGCATCTACCCCTCCCCTCCCTCCCCCCCCCCGCGGTTCAATTGTGCCGACTCCGAGGGTAGGGTTGCAGCTGACGGAACAACGGTAGACCCCGTTCGGAGGCTTGTCGCTTTTCGCGTGTGAAATCCTTATCCCTCGATTAACATTCAGTGAACTAACACTTTCAAACCGTACGCATCCCAGACGGTCAGCGCATCGGGAGCTACAGCTCAGCTCACCACCCATGACGTCACGTAGCGCTCGGCGAAGACCACGCACGCGGCCGCGTAGATGGATGTCAGGCTCCCGCCCAGCCTCACCGCGCGGTTGTCGACGGAGATGGGTGCGTGGAACATGGGAAAGTAGGCCGCGGTGGGGCCGGGGTACGTACTGACCGCGGCATCCACGTCTGCAGGCGACTGCACGGGGAAACGTGCGCGTAACAGCACAACGGACGGCGGGGACCCCGGGCAAAGCACGTCGACGATCAGAACAAGACCTTACGTCGAGAATGTCGTACAGTGCCGCATGGATCCAGAACGCTTCGAATGGACTGATCCATCGTGAAATGAGCTCAGAGCAAGTGACTGTGCCGCCAAGTTCGACTGCACGGTAAGAAACACGTAAAAACGTACAGCAGTCACCGTTGTCCTCTCGCGTGTTCATATGCTCGCAACTCTCTGCTGTGAAGATACACATCACGAATCATCCAAGAGAATCGCCTCCATGGCCTTGTTGGCGTACAGTTCGACTGGCTCTCTTAAACAATACTTTAATACCTTTTCGGGGCCCGGGCCGGACTCAATATCGAACGCCGGAGCAGGGCGGGGTATCCCTTCCAGAGCAACTCCCAGGTCACCTGTCTTATCAAGAGCCTGTCGCGCGCATTACAAAACCAGAGGCGACCACATTAGCAGGAAGACCCGACAGCTTCTAGAACAACGGTTACTAGATGGAGAGCTGAGAATATCGTAGGTGTTACCCGAATAGTGACTTCCCACGACGTCGCTCATGGCTACACTGACTAGCTGCTCCGAGAGCACCACGAAAATAAAGGTCGCGGCCTTGACAAATGTTAATGTTCCGACTCGGACTGAACATAAACGTGGAGCAATCAACGTGAAAAATAAGTTGCAAATGCTCGGCGTTTCTGTTTTAAAAGCAAGCTGCGCCATGACGGCAGCATTGCTCATCGAACTTTGATGATACGCTTGTCAACAAGGGGAACCCCTCCTACCGTTTGTTGGTATACAGTACAGTACAACCTGAAAGGCTCAGAACCTTTGGACTGAACTTGTATCTTGGTACATATGGAAACCTTGCTTAGTTGTATCTAGCAAAGGTCACTGTGTCGAACAGTGTGCAGAGGCCCACAGAGGGACAAAAGTACAGTTTTTTGTTTGAATGGGCGCTTCGTTGGCCGAGAGGAAACGAAAAGAGAGAGTCCCGAGACTCGCAAGAGTCACGAAGGACCTTGAAAGAACCAAGGGGCCTTGACAGACGCATGGAAGAAATGAAAGGGAGAGTGAGAGAAGGGGGGCGAGTACCACCACCACCGCGACCGCATCATGTACGGCATGAAGAAACAGGTCATGGAGGCACGTGCGTTGTTCCTTCTGCGGGCGCGGCAGGGCGGCGGGTCCGGGGGCGAGCCATCCATCCTCATCCCGGAAAGGAAACACACATGTGTTATTGTATTGTAACGCACCGATCACGGTATCAGAATATCATTGTAATGAACCATCGGTTTACCGTGATCGGTTTACCGTCATGTTACAAGAATATCCATGTAACGTTGCAAGAATATCCTGCAGGACAAAGCTCCGATGTATACCTACTCGTCATGGTTTATAGCACGCCCGTAGGTGTGTACTTGTACAATGATCCGACCACTGACGAGTTTTCCGGAAATACTCCATAGGAGATATACCCTGGTAGGTGCTCAAATGCTATTATAGTGACTTGACCTTGACTGTTCCCAACAACCGAGTTTCTCAAGTACCTTGAGGTCATCACAACCCCCGACGTGCTTCTGGTTGATCCAGATTTGGGGCACCGAAGTGCGGTTGGCTGCAAGGGCGGTCATGGCCTTCCGAATCTCGGCGGTGTTGGGCTCCTGAAGTCAATATGCGAACAGATAGCAGGTGGACGGTAAACAGGAAGGTAACACTATATTTCACCATGAACTGGAAAATTTGTGACCCCAGGTGATGCCCCCAATTATGCTCCGCATTGTGTACACTGGCACCAGAATACATGAGGCGAAGCACACACAAACCAACAACGTGGAGGTTGTAACTACGATAAGTCGAATGGCTCGTCTCGTCACGGTCGAGTGGGATCACAAAGCACGGGGTAGCACCGCGACGGTCGGGGCGCAGGTACGGCGATTCCACCTGTGCTCGAAAGAGTTAGGGCTGTCTGCATCGAAGTCGGTTTGTACACGTTGTTGCTCTCTACATACTTGTGCAACACCCCGAAAAACAGTTTTTGTTTCGTAACCAAGAACGACTCTAACGTTGAGGGACGCGGGACCGTAACTCTGTGGGGTCTGGCTCGTGTGATCACAATCGACTGCCCAATGCTTGGACAAAATCTATACGGACACGGCAAGGGAGAGAGATAGGGCACGGGATAGCTCATGATACCCTCCACTAGTGCATGCATAGGGGAGGTAGGCAGGGCAAACAACGAGATTTCAAGCGCGCTTCGAGGGAGCAGCGTTGGCCATCAGTTGGATCGTTTTCCCTGCACCAAGGAACCAGCTCGTGTAGAAGAGTCAACGGCTGCTTACCTGATCGATGTAAACGAACTGGTCGGTGATGCCGTGGCCGGCGAGGGCACGCTTGGCCTGCAAAAAATGGATATGCGGGAAGATGTTGGCGAAATCGTTAAATGAAAAAAACAAAAGCAAGCGCGTGCGTGCTGCGAGGACACCACGGACGATGCAGCCATGTATAATCAACTGTAGCAGCAGCAGCAAGGTGGAGAAAAAAACTCAAACATTTCAGAGTTCCGCGGTCGAGGGAATCACAATGAGTAACAAGCGACTACACAAAAATCGCGACTGAAGAGCCTCAACAACCGAAGGCGTCGTGTCGTACCTCAACGCAGAAGGGGCAGGTGCTGGTAGCGATGACCAACACGGGATTGGTGTCGATCATTCCCTGGAGCCCGGACTTCACGCTACCCCTTTGGGCGATCATGTCCTGGATTTCCGCCCTCGGGCCAAGGCCGCCAACGTCCTCTACGAATCTCTATCAAAAAATGAAGTGCAATGGGAAGGAAGGAGACGGTGGGTTTATGTTGTGCGAAATGGCCGGAGCCGCAAAAGCACATGTCGGGGATGGAGGCGATTACTCCACGCAGTACTCACATGACGCTGAGGTCCTCACAAATAGGGCTAAAACAACCAACCCCCAAACAATGTTCTTTCGATAGTCTCCAAAATACCATGTACCGCCGTATTCATTATTTTTTTGTGCCTCACAGCAATTAGTTTCTCACCTCCGCGGAAGCACTCGAGACCTGCTCAGACGACCCCTGGTCAGTTGAGCTGTGGTCAGTCGAGCCCTGGTCAGTCGAGCCCTGGTCAGTCGCCACCGGCTCTAGCCAAACATCCTCTGCTGTACCATTGGTATTCAGCCGTACGGAGGGGCGAGGCTGCAAATCTGCCCGAGGCTGGCTCCAACCTGAGGACCTCCCGTGCGGCTTCTTCGTGGGGTACGACATGGCGCGTCACCCTTCCTGTCGAGATCGCAAAAAAATATCAGCCAAAGGGCGCACGCACGGGATCCGGTGAGGGAGGGGCCAGCGTATGCATGTACACACATACACGTATGTTATACCATGTTTTTCGTGCTTCGTCACAACATGTTTTCCTTCTCAGGGGCACGCAGGAGGCTCGTCGGTAACCTACCGCGTGTGCCCGGGGACCGCCAGGCACCCGTGGCACGTGCAATCGGCACCAAAAGTCGCCCCGACTGGCTCTATTTCTAGGGAAGGAGGCATTCTAAACGAAAAAAGCCTTCGGAAATATCAAACTCCTTCGCATTTACAAGGAAGACTTTTGATTCCCCTGTGCAAAGTACAAACGCGTTCCCACAGACACGGTCGCCCCGGTGGTCTAGTACGTACCCTCGCAGTCCATCAAGGGCGAGGTCATGGGTTCGAGTCCCGGCAACGTGGCTTCTTACTCTCACTGAATAAATCCTGGTCTAAGTTGGAAGCGACGCGCTGCAGAAGAAAGCTCGTTGTTAGGCTGACTCTTTATGGCAACCGAAAGTTGGCCCGACGGATTTTTTTGGACTGGCATACCTCCACCCCCCGGATTTGCCACGGATTCGACCAAGAGACAGACCTCTCACCACATCACCACAGAGTTCTCCCTCCATGATGATCGGATCGTCACCAAAACTTGAAGGCTGTACGCACCACACCTGTAGGCGTCTTTGAAGCTATAATAGTGGTGCTGTGGGGTCTGTGTGTGCTGAGAAATGTCAATCCATGTGAGCAAAAGTAAGAATCCCTATGGAGAATCCGTAGGAGATGCTATACGATAGTTTGGCCAAACTATCGTATAGACTAGAATCCACTACGGACAAGCTATCGTATAGCG